AGTTTAAGTGTAGTATTTATCATAATTTTGCTAATTTTAATTAGTTGTAAATAATTTTATATTAATAAAATAATATATATTTATATTTTTTAAAAATTTGTTAAGTAACTTTAGTTATATAATTTTTTTATTGCAATTGAATTGCAGTTTAATTATTATTAAAATTCACTATAATTTATTAAATAAATAGAAATAGATAAAAGATTACAATAATAGGGAAAACAATTTATATAATATAATTTATTATTAAATATTTAATTTTGTAATAAAAATAATCTTAATAAGTAATTATAATAAATTATTTTGAACTTTTTATTAGTCTCAGCATTACAAGAAAACAAATGTTGAAATAAACTTATTGGAAATATTGTAAATCAATATATATATACATACATATTACATGTACATGTATATATATTAAATAAAAATATATATATATATAATTTCTATTACAATAGTATGTTATGCATAACTAATATTATAAGTTATAATTAAAAAATAATTATAATCTAACATGTATGCAATTATATTTACAATTAATTTCTAATATAATGATTATATTATATTTATAATATAAAAATATTGAATATTTCAATAATAGTAAAAAATAAAAATTTTTATTTCATGTTTATTTATAATAATAATAATAACATACAAAATTGTATAGGTTATCAATACTTATATTTAAAAAATTTTTATCATGCTTAAATATATTCTATAAATAGTAATAAACATTATTAGGGTAGTAAAAATCTAACTAAAATATTAAATATTTATTCAATAGTACATTTTATTTTCAAAAAATAAATATTAATATATAATTAATTTTATATACAGTATACACTACCACACCCATTATATAATATATCAATATATAATTATACTGTTTAACTGTATAATGTGTCAAAATGTTTTGAAAATTATACATAATGTATAAAGATAATAATAACATTTTTGTTTCATATAAAATTTAAAAAATAATAAATAAATTCAATACTAAAAAAACTATTACTAAGAAAATAAATATGTTTTATAATAGTTTGATTATTTTTTTTTGCTGTTGAATACATTGTACCTATAGATTACTATAGATTATAGATATCTTAAGTTTATTTAGTTTTATATATATATAAATTATTGTATATAATAGAGTATACAGTATATTGTATTTATTATATAAATTTTTATGTTATTGTTGTTAGTTTTTTTAATTAAATATTTTTATAAAGTCAACAAGTATTATAAAATGATAAAAATAAATTGTTATTAATTGTCTATATATTTAATTAAATTGTTTAAAAAAATAATATATTACAAAATTTTTTAAATAGTTTATAATAATTTTTTTTAAATTTATTCAATTTATATTTTAAGTTAATATACATATTATATATTATATTATATTATATATATATATATATATATATATTATAATAATTTAATTTTCGACAACAAATGGGAATTAATATAAATAAAACATTAATAATTATACAATAATATAATAATTATGTAATTATAATATTAATAATAATAATAATACAATATTTTTTTTTAATTAAATTAAATTATTATTATTATTACTATCGGGTATTCAAATATAGATAATCTTTAATATCGGACAGCCGTTTATCACGCTTGTCCTGTTCCAGTTGCCTGAGCGGGACGTCCTTAATGGACAGGTCGGTCATTTTGATTTCGCACAAACGGGGCATCGCCAGCAAACGGGCCGACATATTGGCCAACTTCAACTGTAGGCCTTCCAGCTGACACTCGGTCAGATCCCGGTCGTACTGGGCCTGTCTGATGTTACGTAGGTGTTCCTGTTGGCTGTCCTGATCCCATTCCCTAGCGCGTTGCCTGATCTGATCCAAACGGGATCGATAGTCGACGTTACGTTGGGTGTGCAACCGTTGGCGATCCCGTTCCTCTTCACGGAGTAGTTCCCGGTGCGGCCGGAAATTGTACCAATGATTGTTACGCATAATCGATTGGTAGGCCTCCATGGATGGCATAGTTGGCGGTGGCAGGTGTCGCCTAGAGTATGACATTGTTGTTGTCGATGATGATGATGATGGGTGTGTGTGTGTGGGTGTGGGTGTTAGGATAGGTTAAGTAGGGCTGGGTGTGATTAGATTACTACTAATATAATAATAATAGTTATTATTATTAATTATTAATTAGCTATATTACACTGTTTTATAAGTAATTAATTAATTAATTTTTTTTTGTTGATTAGATAATTTTGATATTATTATACCTAACCTGACCTAACCTGGTGTGTGGGTGTGGGTTAGGGTAGGTTAAGTAGGGCTGGGTGTGATGAGATTACTACTAATATAATAATAATAATTATTATTATTATTAATAGTTAGCTATATTACACTGTTTTATAAGTAATTAATTAATTAATTTTTTTTTGTTGATTAGATAATTTTGATAATAATATTATTTTTTTTATACATTTTTAAAAAATATTTTTAATACACTGTATATATATCTATATATAATATTCACTTAACATTTCACATTTCATTTACTGTATAACAAATAATTGGTGTCAACATTTTTTTTAAAAAATCTATTTTTAAAATTATTAATTACAACTATGTGTGTGTGTGTGTGTGTATGTGTGTGTGTGTATGTGTATGTGTGTGTGTGTATGTGTGATGTATGTGTGTGTATATGTATGTATTTATGTGTGTGTATGTGTGTGTGTGTGTGTGTGTGTATGTGTGTATGTATGTGTGTGTGTGTGTGTATGTGTGTGTATGTATGTGTGTATATGCATGTGTGTGTATATATGTGTGTGTGTATGTGTGTGTATGTCTGTGTCTATGTTTGTATGCATGTATTTATGTGTGTATGTGTTTTGTATTACACATTATACATGCGCATTATATATTAGTTATTTATAAATATATTTTTTAAATAAATATTTTTGCAATATCTAACTACGTAATTCATCTATTTGTTTAAAAAAAAATAAATAAATAAAATTTTTAAAAAAAATCATATGTAACCTCAAATATTTACAATATATATACTATTATTTTAATAATAAAAATATAATTATTTATAAAATAAATATTATTGGCCAACGACTACTACAAATTAAATTAATTTATATATTATTATAATTATTATTATTTTAGCTATTAATTAGTATTGACTGTAATAATACTGTAATCTCTATATTAGATTTAAATGTGTAAATAAATCTATTTTTATTAAACATTTTGAAATTTTTTATATTATTTTTTTTGAACACAGATTTCTGAAAAAAAATCTAAAATTTAAAGATTCAGTAAACTTGTCATTAATTTTTCAAAAATAAAAAAAAAAGTATTTTTAGTTTTAATTTGTTTTATATAAGTAAATGTATTATATGTATACAAGTTTTAACAATAATTTTTTAATTATTTATAATAATTAATTTGGAAATATTATTAACTATTTATTTAATTATTATAAAATTAAAATATTAATAAATAACAAAAATAAATAAATAACATTATTAACAATCATATGTATTTGTTATCGTATAAATTGTTTGTTGATTTTCAATATAATTATTATAATTATTTTCATTAAAATTATTATTATTTTGTTGTTGTAATTGATTTTGTAAATTAATAATAAATTGTAACGGTATAAAATTAGGTAATTGTTGTAAATTAGCATGCTCATTTTGTTTAGTCCTAATAAAACTATTATTATTATTATTATTATTATTATTGTTTGTTGTAACATGATAGATTTCGGGTTCAATTCTAGTTAATACTAGATAGCAAGCATGTATTGACCCGGGTATCCAACCCAGGCAAGTTAATAGTAGATTAATTAGCAAGGTCGATGACCACCATGATTTTGTTAGTATTACAATTGATATAGGTGGCACTAAACAAGCTAGCAACAATTTTACTAGACACATTTATTTATTTTTTGTTTGTTTAATTTGAAGTTAGATAAAATTTTATTATTTAATTAATTTGATAATTAACAATTTAATTTAAATTAATTATTAAGTTTTCAAAAAAAAACAATTTGTAATTATTATTTATTTAGTTAATTCACAAAATACAATAAACAATTAATTATTAAATTCACATTTTATAATAATAATAATAATATATTAAATACATTTATAAATGTTTTTATAATAATAATAATAATTAATTGCAACTAATATTTATATAAATAATTTTTCAACAATTTTTTAATATTACAATTATTGTCAGTATTATTGCAATAATGATTAGATTACTAAAATTGTTTATTACTAACAGATTAATAGATAATTTTTAATAATTAATATATATATAAATATATAGTAAACACATATGTAAAATAAGTAATAGTAACACAATATAATAATTATCAAATAATAAAAAAATATTATCTATTACAATAATAGTAATAATAAAAATTTAACCGTATTTTTTTCATTAAAAATAAAATATCAAATAATGTTATTTAAAATTATTTAAAAACATAATAGTCGTAATAATAATAAGTTTCAAATCATTTTATATATATATATAAAAAATTATTAAATTTTTTTTGCATATCATAACAGTTTGCATATCATTTTACAACAACAACATAGACACAAAAAAACATTAATTAATTAATTAATTAATTTTTTCAAAATAAAATAAAATTTATTATTAATTATTTCCAAAATAATAATAAATTTTATTTTTAAAAATATATATCAAATAATTATATTATGCAAAAAAAAAAACAAAACAAACTAAACTATAGATATACAGTATATAATTAATTAAGTAATAATTAATTAAATAATTAATAGTAATAATAATAATAATAATAGCATCAAAAAAAATCGTAGCAAATATTAATTGATTTAAACAAACAAAAAAAACTTATATTACTTTATACCATAAGTTTTTTTGTGTAGGATGGAGGGGGGTTTGCCCCTCCCTCCCCCTCATATAAAACACAATAGAGAGGAACTGTATGTTTGTTTGTTTGTTTTTTTAGATACGATTCCTATGATGGGCAATGGTATGCCTTTGTARRCCATCAATCAGTTCACCCCTGCGTTCAATATTCCTGTTCTGATAGTACCGGAGCCGCGAATCGTTCAGATTATTCATAGCCCTGTCCTGACGTTTACGAAAGTCGGCTATACGTCTCTCAGTTGATGGCCKCAGRATATGGTCGTACCTATTGTTCAATTCGTTGAAATATAGGTTAACCCGATCGACACCATCGTATCGGTGATCAATATAACTCTTTATAGATTAATATTTAATTAATTTAATTAATTTAATTAATTTAATTAATTAAATTATTTATTTTTTGTTGTTGACTTACATTAGGAAATACAGGTTTGGATAGCGATTCCAGGCACTGATGAGTAGTACAAACGTGTGGTAACATTATAATTGYTTTTTTTAATTAATTAATTTAATTAATTAATTAATATTTATAGTKAAAATAATTTATATTTACTTTAAGTTAATAATCAGTGAAAATATAACAGAATATTCTGCTATAGAGATAGATATTCACTACTGTTTGTTATAATTATATATAATATTCTGTGTGTTTTCAAAAAACAAATATTTTTTGTGTAAATAATAATTATTATACTAAACTATATATACATTTTCTGTCTAAATATTAGTATTATTATTATTATTATTATTAGCTGGTATTGCAATTGCAATGAGCAATAAATAGGTTTTTCAAAAATAACGATATGTATGGTTGGTTATGATGATGATGTTGATGGGCTTAATGATGCTGTTTAGATGCCTAATGTGTAGATGTGGGTGTGTGTGTATGTATGTATGTATGTGTGTATGTATGTATATGTGTATGTATATATATATGTATGTATATATTTGTGTGTATGTGTGTGTATGTTTTTGAAAAAAATATTATTATTATTGCCTTCAAAATTTTTACGTAATATCATTGAAATTGCTGTCTAAATATAATCTATTTTTATATACATATTTTGAATATATATACATTACTCTATATAATTATAACATTGAAAATAAAATATTATATACAATTTATATTATAAATATATATTGTAAACACATTTTTTTCTAACATTAACATAAACACATTAACTAAATTCAATGAAAAATAAAATATGTATTTATTTAAATTTAAGTTATAGTTAATATTAATTTATAAATAATTTATAAATTATATTATTGTTTTAATAAATGTATTATTATTTTTATTTAAATAAAAATATTGTAAAAATAATCATTTAGTGTACAATTAAAATTGTTAAATTTTTACTAAATAAACCAAAAAAAAATAATTTATATTCAATTCTCAAATTTATAATCTAATAATTTTACATTTTTTTTATTTATGAAAAAATTTTACTAAATTTCTAATATATCTATAAACAAAAATTTATAGTTTAATATATACTAATAGAAAATTTTATATTAAAATATATTAATATCTAAATATTAATTTGCAATTTATTTTTCTATYWAAAAAAATATTAGAAATTAATTATTTAAATTAATTTTTTATTATTACTACTATTATTATTAACATAATTATTGCGATAAAAGTTGAAAAACATATAGAAAAATACGGGACTCTGTAGTTGTGTATAATATTTCAATAGTGGCGGAAATGGTACACCCAGGTGCTCGACCAGGGTACCATAGCCTATGTATACGATAAATTGGGCCAACTGTAGCTTGGTTAGCCAAGGTTTCCACCATAGATACTGGTGTAACCTGGCTGATCCATAGGTTGCCAACAAATAATATCCGTACATACATGTATGTACAAATGAGTTAAGCAAGATAAACAGTTTCAGGGGCATCATATTGAACCGGTACCATATGGCCAGCCATGATAGTAGGGCAACAGTTGAGTGATGGTATAGGTGCAGGAAAGTTATCTGCCGGTGCTTTTTGCGCAGRGCAAAAAATATGGTATCCATTAGATCYAGTAGTTTTGTCCAATGATACCAATAGACACGGTGTATGTCATATCTAAATTAGTGTGGGGGTAGGGTAGGGTAGGGATGGTTGGGTGTGAGTGTTGGGTGGGTTAGTAGACAAATAGAAATTTTATAATTAATTTTTTTTAAARAGAAAGTTATATATACAGTATATATTGAAATTTTTATTTTAAATAACTATATCTATCTATTGTAATACTTTACTAATTATATATAATTATAATTTAATTAATAATAATTATATAGTTTTTTTTAGTAAAATTTATATTTATTTACTGTATTATAATTTAGTTAAATGAATTATTATTATTATTATTATTTGTTAATTTCAATATAAAAATAATTAAAATACTAGTAATAATAATACTGTATAACAAAAAATATAATAATAATAATAATAATAATAATTATTATTATTATTATTATTAGGGGGAATCACAATAGACAGAAATTTATATTATTTTTTAAAAATGAAAAACTTTTCCCGGAAATTCCTAATATTTTTTAAAAAATGAAAAACTTTTCTCAGAAATTCCTAATATTTTTTAAAAAAAAGAAAAACTTTTCCCAGAAATTCCTAATATTTAAAAAAAAAGAAAAACTTTTCCCAGAAATTCCTAATATATTTTAAATGAAAAACTTTTCCCAAAAAATATTTATATTTAAAAAAAAATACTAAATTCATACCCAATGGTTGGCGACCATTGCCGATCGTCGGGTACGGCAAAATCGGTCATCAATTTCCAGCCGTAGTCCAGCTCCCGGAGCTCGTAGAAAAAATAGTAGCCATTAATCAGCACTAGTAGACCATTATAGCCGCGTATAATCAGTTTCAGATCCCAGGGTTTACTATTGGACATCCATTGGGGTATCACTTGTAGTACTAGTGCTAGATATATGGCAATTATTGCTAGCAGATAGTATAGACCCTGGGCACCTGAAAACCAGCTAAACTGTTTCATACGACTGTCCCCATAGTGTGACCAAAAATCATATAAATAATAATCGGCTAATTGTTTGTAATTATTTATTATTATTATTGATGATGATGATGAAACATTTAACATTGTTTTTTTTTAATTTTTTATTTTAATTGTGTAATTAATTAAACAAATAATTAATTAAAAATAAAAACAAATTAATATTTAACACACAAAAAATATATAATACATTTAACAAATAATTTTTTTTAAAAATATATATATATAAAACTATTGCACTTTTGTTAGATTATATTAAACTATTGATATAAATATATATATTTTTTTAATAATCAATAACCAATTTTACATTTTTTTTAAATTACATATATTTTTATAATACAACTATATGTTTATAATAAATATTTTTCAAAAAAAAATATCTTATTAAATTAATTTTTTCTATATATATTTATATTATTATTAAAATAAAATTTAAAAATTTATTATTATTATTACTGGTTTTTTAATCTATCAATTACTTATTATATGATGTTGTTTTTATTTTATTTATTTTTTTATTTTTTGGTAGCAATTAGATGAAAATAATATTTATTTATTTTTTATTATATTATATATGATTTTTGTAATATGTATGCATAGAGAGAGAGAGAGAGAGAGAGAGAGAGAGAGAGAGAGAGAGAGAGAGAGAGAGAGAGAGAGAGAGAGAGAGAGAGAGAGAGAGAGAGAGAGAGAGAGAGAGACATTGAATTATCATTTTTTAATTTTTATTTATTTATTAAAAATATGACAATGAATTTTTATATTGATTTTTTGATTTTATTTTTATTTTATTAACACATATATAACTATTTAGATTAATGTGTTCAATGTAGCTAATTATACTTTAATTAAAATTTTTATAGTTAAAATTATTAATATATATATATAGTTTTGATATATATATATATTTTGATTTAAACTAAAAAAGTACTAATATATGTACTGTTAATATATTTGCTGATTATTATTAATATTAATAAATAGTTAATTAAAACCAATTTTTATATACCTATAAAATTAGGGTCATTCATATATATTATATATTATATAGTTTAAATAAATTTTTAAATATATTAATTATATCAATATATATATATATATATATAATTAATTCAATAAACTGAAACATATATGATTGATATTCAAGGTTAACATTATAATATTAAAATATAAATTTTGAAATAATTAAGTTTATTTTATGTTTTTACCAAAAACAATAATTATTGTTAATTTTGTTATATGTTTGTCAAACATTATTTTATTTATTTTATTTTATTGTTTTTTATTAGTTATTAAAAAATTTTTATTTTGAATAATAATAACTAATAATAGTATTATTATAAATATTTAATTTTTTTTATTTAATTTGCTAAAAATAAAATTATTTTTATAGTGTATAATACAATACAATACAAAATAAAATTTGATAATACAATTTGTATTATCAAATTTGATTTTTTTACAAAAAAATATAACGATATTTGGAGATTAATTAAAATCTATATATTTTTATAAAGTATTAATTTATTAAAATTTTTCAAAAAAAATCCAATACTAAAATTTTTAATTTATTTATATATATAAACCTATTAATTAATTACATACTAAATGTAATCATCAAACAAAAATGCAATAATAAAAAATTTTTATATGATATTGAATTTTATAATATTATAAATATTTATTTTTTATTTAACATGATATTGATTATATAAAAATTTATAATATTTTATTTTATTTTTTACTTATAAAAATTTATACACTAACATGTTATATCGACAATAAATGATAATAATAATAATAAAATTTATAGTTTTATATATTTATTTGTTAAAATATTTAACTATGAAAAAAAAAATTCCATATAATTATTGCAGAATTATTAGAAATTAATTAATTAATAAAACATAACATTATATTTATATTTACGTAATATTTGATTATTATTTTTGTTTTGTTTTTTTTTGCTTAATTATGGAAAATATAACTATTTTTATATATTATATTTAAATACTTAATTGAAAACTTTAGAAAATAATTAAAAAAATTTAAATTACTAAAATTTATTTATATTTATTAAATCAATTTTTAAAAAAAATTAAATAAATAAACTGTAATTTTGCTTTTTGACTAAAATTTTTATTGATTTAAATATAATTTATATTAGAAAACAATTTAACCAAAATTAATTATGTAATTATTTTTTAAAACAAAATTTACCTAGTTATAATAATTAATAAACAATAATATTAAAATCATTGCTATATATATATTAGAAATTTTGTAATTATTTGAAAAAATAAGTTATCAAGCTAGTTAATTTTATCAATTAATTAATTGGTATTTAATTAAATAATAATTAAAAAAACAAATAATATTTCAAAAAAAAAAAATTGTTTTATAGTTTGTTGAAAACATTTTTTTTAAATATAATTTATATACTTGTA